GGTGCATGCGTCGCCGATGGACTTCGGTACCTCGAAAGTCTCAAAATCATTCACAGCTGCGTGTGCGCGCGAAGCGTAGGATTAAGTCTCGATTGGTCACCTAAGCTGATGGGTCACGGTAACTTTTATTTTACCTGTAATTCATTATTTAATTGTGTCTATATTAGTAATATATTTTTATAAATCAATATTGTTTTATTTATAAGAAAATTTTATAAATAATTTGAATTAATTGCTGTTATGCCAAGATCGAGGAAAGGATTGGATTGGATTTATTCATCATTTTATCTATTTACACCAATCAAGGTGTGGATAGAACGAAATTATTAAGCACTGTATCAAATTGATATATATTATGGGATAATATCCTCCATATTTTTTGTGAGACTTCATAAGTACTATGTTTAATTAAATGTTAATGACAAGTAGCTAAGCAGAAAAATACTTTTGGAGTAAAACAATGGACAAGTGATTGGTGTTATAAGAGCTGCTTATAAAACGCTTTATATATATTTAAACAGTGAAGCAAAGAGATTTTATATATCTTTGCGACTCCAGTGCTTTTAACCCAAAACTAAATAATAATCATAATAAATACGAATTACATCGTGATATGGTTTATTGAATGATGACTTACTTTCATGATTTTAAAGACATTGATAAGTTTGAATATGTTATTTAAAATCGTTTTGAACAATTAATAAAATATTCTAAAAACTTCTGTTTTACTTTATTGTTATTATTGTTTAGTTTATATTTGTAAACATTATGTTTCTAACGATAAACATTTTTATTAAACTTTATCTTTCAGTAATTTACATAAAAATTAAATTTATATTGTTATCACTTGGTATCACGATATGAGTTTTTCCTTATAATAAATAAATGTACTAAAAATATATTAATAAATAATATACTAATAATATAATAAATTAATCCACATTATAAATACATAAAATCGCTTTTCCTTACGAATCTGTCAATTATTAATATGATCTCAAATTTAATTAGGATAATGTAAAAATACACGTAAAATCGTATGATTTGTTTGAAAATGAAATGCAGAAAATTCCTTTTCAATTTAACTTATTATTAAAATTAGATTTCTATATTAGTTATTATTTTATGATTTAGATTAATAATTATTAAAAATTCTTTATTAGGATTGATTAATGCAAATACTAAATCTTTCAAAGATCAAAAGAAATCTACATTTTAATTAAAAGTTCAAAGATTTAACCAAAATTTCGAAATTTATGGCAGTTATACCAATAATAAAATTAATGTCCTAAACAATCCTGTTTAATATCGTAGCTGACAAAAGCTAACAACATGATCATCCATAGGATTATCAAAGTATGGTCTCGAGGACGTGAAATATGCACGCTGGATGGCAATTGAGTCCTTCAGTAATCAAAAGAGGCATCACCCGGGTGTCGTCTGGGCGTACGGTGTTCTCCTTTGGGAAATGTTCAGCATGGGCGGCACACCATACTCCCAAATGGAGATGGACAGTGACGTTGAGGCCGCACTCCTTGACGGCTATAGGCTTCAGCAGCTAAGAGACTTAACCGATTCGGTTTACGAGGTCATGAGCTCTTGCTGGCTGTTAGATCCCCAGGAAAGGCCCACCTTCGACGAGCTCGTGCGATTGGTGAGGATCGTCTTTGCGTATAATATTTGTTTGTCTAACTGATAATTGAAGTCATTATTGAAATTTCAATTCCGACTTTGCTTTACAATATCTTTATTTTATAATTGCAATTTTTGAATAACGATTATTTTCTTTAATATCAATAAAATCTATAATTTTAGCGACATTTTTAGTATAATGTATTTTTTTCTTATTTTACTAATTTTTTTCATTAAAGATGCTTGTAAATGTCAGTAATAATTATAATTAATTCATATTTTATTTCATTAGGATACTCTGTCAGTCTGTCCAATTACTTCAATTACCGAACCGTATAGACCGGAATTGGAATTGAACTAAGCCTATGACTCGGATTCTTCAATAGAATTCGTAATTGTACACAAGGAAATATAGCAATCATGTACTTAAGTGAAATTCGAGTCAATAATCGAACGGTTCTTCGATTACATTAATGTTAAGGAATTCATTTCAATAATAGCAAAGCATTATGTTAGTTACCAAATCATTTATACGTTGTAACCCGAAAGAGATTGTTTTGTCCCGTGTTTTATACATACATTTTACATTTTTAATCGCGAAGGGCCAACTGCTTCAATTTTGAAGCTTTTTTAAAAAATGCATTTTTTTAAGAAACTCAATTTGATTTTAAAATATTTAAAAAATGTATGTAAATGCATAACGTAAAATCTATGATGATATTGTTTACGTTCATTTTTATAAATGTAAATTAATACAAGGAATGATGAACACTATTTTATCTCGTTAATCTTAAGTTATGTTATAAATTAAATTTGAACATTTTTTTTTCATAGACTGATTTATATTATGAAAGACGTGTTGTAAGAAATTAAGTTTCAAACAATCAAAACTTAATTTTTTATATTTTTAACAATATATGATACATCATATATTTATATCTTATACAAGTATTTTATTTTAAATACACTCTTATCATTGCCTATTTGGAATGAATGTATATTTTGAAGAGCTGTAATTATAGTTTATAGAAAATATTGATAGTATTTTTGCCTAATATCTCACAGCATTAAGCATGTGTCTTCTTTTAAAATTGTCTTTTTAAAAATGAAATCGAAATAGTAATATGTACAATATTTAATATATTTTTTTATTAAACTCAATTTGTTATACGCTATTTTATATAAAACAATATAAATAAAATGTAGCATATATAAATAAATCATATTTATTTTATAATGTAATATTTGTATCGGAGTATAAATACTCATTTATAAATATGAAGGAATAAATAAACTGAATTAATATTAAGTAATATAATCTCTATATTTTACATAACTTAGTATTATTTATGTCAATATAATTATTATAAAAATAATTAAATTTCTTCATTATGTAAATATACATTCGCTTAACAGATAATAGAAAATGCAAAATAAAAAATTAAAACTATAAATCATAAATTATTATTTAAAAAATCGTATGGTTCTTCAGACATGAAATAACATTACAATTATATTAAACTACTACATTATTACAACTGTAACTATCGTAATGTAAGTATTTAAATAAAAAATAAAAGATTTAAATAAAACGAATTTGAAAATGAAATAAAATAATTTTAGCATTAATGCATATTACTTTTATATACACTAATAATGCTATATATTTTATATATAACTAACGATGATTTTTACATATTTACTCTATTTATAAAAATATTTCTCCACGTTCCAAAATTACGTTATAGTTTATCCAAAAATTAAGTATAGTTTTTAATATTCAGTTCTAAATCTTAAACCTTATTAATTTCCTTTGGTATATATAAGGTGACCTTAGTTAATTGACTGGGTACTTCATTAATAAATACATAAAATATATAACTAGATTTTTTCATACTCAATTATTGTAAAATAATTATCTTATAAACTATGACTTATATTTTACAATGAATTTATGAATTAGCTTGTTTATATAAGTGTATAAAAAATAATTATGAAAGACATTTCAAACTTTTAGAACACACATTTATCATTTATAAAACAAATGGAAGCATTTTTCATCGTTTGAATTTTAACAATCATCAAAATATATACACGTCTAATATTGCTTATTAATATAAGATTTACAAAATTTCAAAATGTTGCTATTCTATCTAATGTTGTAAAAATATTAAAATTACGTATCATCGGTTTATAAGTAAATATATTGATCGAGCAATATTATTTTACATTTCTAACGCATTCTAGATGGCATTAGATTATTGCGCAATTAGTTCGCGTCAAACATATATAAATATTTAAATTCTTCGTTTAAATTGCGCAGCAAATTGCATTCAATTCAATGGAATTTATAAAAAATGGAAGCCTCCTCTGGAATGTCGGAATGTGACGATTCGTTTAACGGATCTTCGTCATATCAATTCATTACCATCCTTTGACGAAAAAAGTTTTTTACAAGAAGCATATAGAGAAAAGTAGCTTCAGGTTGGTTGAGAAGAAATTTTACTAGAGTGGGAATGAATAGCCCTGGGACCAATAATTTTCTGGGTTCCAGTCTTCGCCTTCATTCTCCTCGGGCAAAGTAGTTGTCTATAAGCCTCTCTATATAGTTTGTTGGTGCCGGCATAAATGAAGGGATTGACGACGGACGAAGCCCAGGCGAGCATGGATGCAACTACATGAAGCACTGGCATCTGGACCTTGTCGTCAATCACATTGGCCAACATCAACGGCAGGAAGCAAAGAAGAAAGCATAAGAAGATTGTGAGCATCAAGCGAGTAACGCGCGAATCCTCGCGTCTTTGGAAGCCACTACGTTTTCTGCGCATCCCGCCATGGGCTTCAAGCTTTTTTCGGCTACTGCGCACACGCCAATATATGCACAAGTAGGAGACAATTATGACGAGGCACGGCACTAGGAAGCCAACTACGAATAACAGTTTCTTGGGGCTGTGGCCATTTTTCTTCAAGATTGTGCACGAGAAGGTCGCTGGGTCTAGGCCCAGGCTACCCCAGATACCTAACAGCGGCGGCAGCAAGAGGGAGAAGCTTAACGTCCAGATCGCAATCAACATCAAAGCGATGCCACGGGCCGTATAGATCTGAGAGTAGATCTCTGCCCTGGAAATTAGCACGTACCTGTAATGAGAGGTACATTTGAATTTACTTTGTTACATCGTTTGTATTCGTTGCTTCGTGAACACTCTCTTTTAAGATTATGTAAATTTAATTAGTATTTGCTATGGCTTTATTATGATTGCATCAAGGCTAAATTTTAATTTATTTCATCTTCGATTAAGATATTAGTTAGTAATTGGTCACTGTTGATACCTTATATTTATCATATAACTTGTATATTGTATACAAGTTTCCAATACTACATGCGAATTTGGGATTTAACATAAGAGAAAAGTCGATTTTTACTTTATAAAATATCATTACAAAGTATTATACTTCCAATATTTTGGAAATATTTAAAAATATTTTTATTAGAAAAACACTTCTGAAATATACTTTTTATCTACTAGTGAATCATGATTTGTTATAATAAAAATGTATCGTCCTGGAAATATACTTAAAATTGCTTGCTTTTACAAGGTATTAAATACTTTTTATCAGCATAAATATTGTTGTAAATGCTTTATCACATTTTGAATATATTACGATATGGTTTTGTATATATCATACTCATGTATTAAGCTTGAATTAAAAACTATAAGAGTAACAAAAAAGTCTTGAAATATATAAAAGCGCATTTCTAAATATCAAAAAGTTCATTCTAATTTTAAATACATAATGACAACTGATTATTTAATGTTAAGATAATTATTCGAAAGCAATAGTATAAGAACATTCGTAATTACGAAGAAAAAATGGTACGTATAACATGGATTAAATTCTAGAAAGGATAGAAAAGAAAGCTTAGAATGATAACACGTTGTAGCGACTTCCGAGAATTTCATAAATTTTTCTCATCACATAGAGTGGTATTAATTGCCAGTGACTCAGCGCGTTACACATTAGTTTTTAAGAATATTGAGGCATCGTTGAAGCTGGGCTGCTGAAATTTATGACGAGCGCTTTTAATCAAGTGTTATAAAAACGCTTTAAAGGATGCACTTGAGATTTTTCGAGAGCGACGCGTACGTTTTTCCAAAGAAATTTACTTTGACGACGATAAACCGATCAACCAATATCTTCAATTGAGCTCGAACTTAAGCGAGATTCAATGACCCGAGCTGCGCCACTTTAAGAGATAGCAGAGGGAAAAAGAAAAAACCAACGTTTAATCGAGTTTCGGTTTTCGTGTCGATCGATGATTTTAATATGTCATTTTCGCACTCTAATATTATTTATCTCTTGTATACATAAAAGTCCCATGCTTAATCATTTTATACATGATCACATTTTTTATTATCTGATATTAATGTATGCTGTGAGCACAATTGTTGAAACTATACTACTTATCTTTTATTTATTTAAACTCTTCATTATTTAAAAACTTTTTTAATTTTGTGAAATGCCGTGGAAAATCTTTTGTTAAAAATACTTTTTGCGCAGTCTCTTTTCTCCACTATTATGATTTATCTCAATAGTAAATATTAAAATTCTAAAATAAAATATAAGTTTAATTACATTAAAATTTTTTGCATATATTTTATTAATTTTAATACACATAAATGAAAATGCTTCTAATAAAAGTAATGTCTCAATGTAATTTTTTAAAAAATTATTTCCAACTACTAAATATTTTTTATTTGATACTTCAATGAAAAGTTCATTTTATGCTTAAGAAGCTTCTTAAATGATCACGTGACATTTACAAACATACTTTATTTATTCTTAAATTTCTTTTATTATCTTATAATGAACCATTTTACGTAAAAAAAAGATTCTTTTAAAAGATTATTTGATAAAAATATGCAGTTTACAGTAAGCTAGAATTTATTGATTAGCTTGATTATAAAAAAAATTCAAACGTTTGTAATCAATTTCTGCAAAAGTAGCACGTGATACTTATAAAACATTTTTTTTTTAATTTTGTTTATTTTTTTTTTTAGACCAATCGAAGATGTTTTTGTATTTTTAAATAAATTTTACTCCAGGATTGAACGAAATTATATTGAAATCGAGCCAGCATCAAGTTTCGTTAATTCCAACAAAAACGTTTATGCCAACATTAGAATGTAGTAGCCCCGAGCGCACGAGGATACAAGTGCTCCAGTGTATTTAGCCTTAGATGAGATCTTCCAGCGAGTCTCTTTGATCCACAGGAGGGGTCCAAGGGGAGAGCGCAAGCGAGTTGGTACGAACCTGTTGATAGTGATGGCTACCATACTGAGTAGCGAGACGGCGACGTTGCCGTAGAAGAAGAACGGGAATAGCTGGCAGAGAGTCTCGCCCAGGAGCCAGGCCTCATTGAGATAGCGACTCGCCGTCAGCGGCAGGTTCACAGTCGCGAATATCAGGTCCGAAATGCTCAGACTTATGACAAAGGCCGTCGTCGCATGTCGACGGAGACGCGCGTATCGTAGCAGGGCGATTATCGTCACCAAGTTGCCTAGAGGGCGTACAAGGAAATCAGTACAAGGATTTTATTGGAATTAGTGTGGAATCTTTCATGGAAATTTATGGGGACGATTATTAATTTTTAGCGATAGGAGACGATTTATCGTATTTTGGGAGTTAGGGATGATATTAAGTTTCTTTGAAAATCTTCAAACCAGCCATGTGTTCTTTGAAATCGAGAGATTTTTATTACAGTAATTAGTAGGTCATGTTGCTGCGTTTTCGAGAGGAATGTGCATTAAAAATTGTTTAGTATTGCTGATCGATAAGTCAGCTCAATATATTAACAAAGAAGGATAATTAAGCTTCATATATTTTAAGATCACACTAAATGCATATAGATGTAATATAATACTAATTTTTTATTTAATATATGCATAAACTTAATTAATTTTACATAAAAATAAAGCAATTTTTACAATACAGTCACACATAATATGTAGAAAATATTAAGTTCAATATTTTGTCTTAAAAATATTAAAATGTTACGGTTGGTGCTTAATTTTCGAAGAGTCGTTTCGTACAGTCAATAACTGCACACGTTCCACATGATTTGTCGGCAACAATCTCAATTTATTACGCCTTTTCTATTGATGACGTAGCTAATAATTAGTAGCATTTGTATTAAAATTGAACGATATCATAACGATTTTAATTTTGTTTTTATCTATCTTCACAATCGTGTATTGCAAAGAATACGATTTCTTTTTTATTTTAATATATGCATGGCAGAAAATGAGCCACTGTATGTTGACTTTCCTTGAATCAGAATCAGAAATATGAATCATTCACTAATCTGATTAAAAATATTTAAGTTAATTGGTTTAAAAATAGGGTGCACTCAAATGCAAATTTGAGACTTTTTTTCTAAAGTGTATTTAATTTGTTATACGTTATTTTTGATAAATGCAATACTTCGAGAATTTTTTCATTAATTTTAAGATTTTTATACGATCGTAATTTTAAGATATAAGAATAAGGAACTTTTTATAAGCTGTGTTAGATACAATCATCTGAGCAATAAACATTCAACCAAAGGGTTTAAGTACATGCAGATATATAAATTGAATTGAGTTTCTGTGTTGGTTTCGTTTATGTATTTTATTATTTATTTTAATTATTTTAAAATGATTTTTAATATATTTGAAGAATAAGGAGAAAAGTGAATTTTTTGAATTTTTAAAAAATATAGATGTTGTTGGATCTTTATTTTTTATACAATTAATTACGTGGCGTAATAAAAATATTTCGTATTTGTAAAAGTTTCAATGAACGATAGTGCCGTTGAAATTCTTTATTGAATTCGTTTTAATATAGAACTTAACATAACACAAATATATTTTTGTAAGAGTAGATGTCATCACTCATTATCCATGTAATTACATTTTCTGTACATAAACTAAATATTTATATATTGAATAATGCAATAATTATAAATTGTCTAAAACAAGTGTCAAAAGTTATGTAAGAAATTGTGAAATGTTATTTATATATGTCGTCGTCAAAATGTTAACAATTTTGCCACACCGTAAAAATTAATATTTTCTTATATTTAATCGTTAGTTTCTTAACGTCCTTTAACTTACCTCCTCTTTTCCCAGTAGAAAGCATTGTAGTAAACATTTAAATACATCGTAAAAATTCACAGGATATAATAATTATATTTAGTTAATACATTAGTTTAAAATTTATAAACTGAAAATTGAAAGAATTTAAATTTATGAAAAAATACTGTGCTTTTAAATATAGAGTCACTCATTGTACGATTCTACTAATATCGGATTATTATAATGGATATAATAATATAAAATTATCATCTTACAAACCAAAAATTTAAATATGAATATAGTACAAGAACCATCGATAAAGTAAACAACAATAAAATAAAGTTTAATTCACTATATGTTAAGGTGGAATTCACTTTTTAAATAGAAATAAATAAGAGTCGATCAATGGCAGCGCATTAAATTAATTAAAACACTTTAATAGCCCAGTCGCGCTTTTCTCCACTAGCGTAAAAAGGCTTATTGACCAAGAGCTATTTATTCGTTAATGTAAAAACGCAACTCATGGAAGTAGAATATCCCACGCGGTTGTCACTGTGAAAACGTCGACTGTGATCGCATAAAGTCAAAGCGACATGTCGATTTTAATCATACATATTATCAATATTTAGACGCTCAAAATCCAAAATGTAGCCATCGTAAATTCAGAAAAACCATTGCTATTTACTTTCTTTATTTTTTAGCCAAATTGTTGATACGTGAACGTGTTGAAAAGCTGGGAAAATCATTCTATATACACGAGGGGAGCAGCTAGGCATATGAGAGTAATTCCAATTATACGGGGTCACTCGGGTTCGGCAACCAGCGAGGATTCTTCATTGGGCTTGATTTATTTCAATGTTAGGCGTTTGTTTTGAAAGAAAGCACCACACGTCTTCTTCCCTTTGAGCGCAACGCTATGATGTCATACAGAGTGACGTACCCCTCCCTTATAATTCAATGTGAGAAAAACACGTGCGCGCTTGCGATATGTATGCTATAGTAGTAAATGCGTGAGCGCGCATGCGTGCAGAGCTTATCAACGCGCAACACATGCAATGTAGGAGTAGATACACGATGATTTTCGAATAACTACTTTCAGTGTTTCATCGTCGACATATGGAATGTTTACTTAGTGAATCATGATAATATTATTTTTGTTATGTTACATTTTTAAAAGTAGAAAAATCGTTATTTTAATACGTTAATTTAATCGTTATTTTAACTTTAAGGAGAAGTTTGAAATATTTTACTTTAGAAAGAACTGTATATTTCTTATAATTATTAAATGTATTAAAAATAACAAATAACGTTCATGCTGTAATTTCTTATGATTTGAATGATTTCTTATGACATATAGATGAGTAATGACGCAAAAATTTTGGATTATATTTCATTATTATTATAGATGCATAACGATTTCATACAAGATATTAATAATCAATATTAATTCAAGACACTTGTAAATTCATTATTTACAATTATTTTATCAATTAATAATGTTTACAAGTATATATAGCATTAAATGAGTGATTAAAAAATTTATTGGTCTGTTATTAGTATAAAAAAGAATTGAAGTATAACTTCAGTATAAATTCATATATAAAACAAGTATAATTTCAGTTAATTGATGGAAAAATTAATCTTGTATCTCTTTTAATATTTGCTCAATTATCGTCATTAGTTAAATGCCAATGTGCGATTTACCTTATTTTCGAACACCGAGAGACAAATGTCAATTAACAGACATAAAAAATTATATAACTTGGTTTTGACTATTTTTATAATTTGATTATTATTTGCCAATATTGTAATAATACTGTTAAATTGTTCATAATGCAGTTTTAAGAAAGTAAATAATTTACAAACCCGTAGTTCATTTTTCCTGTCACATTTCTAAAATAAAATTTCCAATGATGATCCTTGAAATCAATGGAACGCCACGTAACGACGATACGGCGATGTTACTGCTCCATATTAACTTACATTAATGAGCTGGACTTTAATGGTTTTTTTTTCGTTTTATCCATTTCATTATGCGTGGAATCTCATTGCGCTTGGTGGCGCAGCCCAAACTAGTGCCCATTCATCTTGAGTGCAACTTTATTCCCTAATCCTATCGCTCTCGTAACTAGTCCAATTATGACTTCATTGCGATATTAATTGTACTCATTGTCTTTTCCTTATTCTTCCTATCCATCTTTCTCTTATACTTTATTATATTTACTATTTACTTAATAATTATCGACGATGCTCCAGATTCGTTGTTTCTATACATGCACGATTCATAGACTTTCGTTTGCAAACATGCTATTATGGTTTTATATTTTTATTTATCCATAATCATAAATTATGTTTATTATAAATTGTGAAAATATATTCGAGGATTTTTTGCATTTATATTTTATATATAATTTTCAAGATGATTAAATTTTAACAGAATTCAAATTTACTTATAACGCGTACAATGAAATATTTATAAATAAATGTCTAATTTAATTCTATTCTTTATTCTATAACAATGTAAAAAAAATTATGAATTCAATTCCAACTATTACTTAACATACAATTTTATGTGGGGCTTTTAGATCACATTTAATAAATAGGCTTCAAGCATTTATGAAATATAAAATACTAATTTGAAAACTATTATTATTATAGAATCGTTATTATATATATAATACTTGTTAAAATGTATAAATTATTATTATACTTGAACAACAAAAGATATAGTTATTTCCTTAAATTAATACTCTATCGTAATAAATTTCGTAATGTATAATAGATATGGAATAAAGTGTGTATTACAATTGTATAAATACATTATAAAATTAAGGCATATTAAAATCGAAGTTCTAAATATATAACGTTTATAAAAATATTCTTTAAATAAAGCATAGTTGGATATAAAATTTAATTCAACTGTCAAAATAAAAAAAATCATATACTTTAGTTGTAGGATTATGAATATTAATGATTTAAATAAAAGTTATTCGTATGTAATGTTCCGATTTGGTAATTTATTTTAATTTCAATATACATTATTATAATTTGCATTTATTTTAATGCGAATATAATCATTTTAATCTATTTGTTGTTTTTGTGCTTTCGAAAATAATATATGATGTATGATCAAATAAAGAAGAGTTAATTTTGACGTTTTTAATATCCGGAGAATTTATAAGTACTACAAATATTAAATATTAAAATATTTTATAAATTTGCATTCTTAAGTGACTTTTTCCGAAAGAAATTGAATATTAATGTATTTTTGTGATTTTATTTTGTAATTTTAATAATACCGTTTATATAAACTTTCAAGTAATTACGCATAAGATTAGTATGGAAATTAAAGGAACATTATTTGTTAAAGTGGTATTATAATGGTATTAAACTGGTACTATCTCTCATAAAATTTAAAACCATACATGCACGGTACTTATACATTAATTTAAATGATATGATATCATCATTAGACGAGCGATATATAAAGTTTTGAAAATCCTACTATAAAAATATATATCAAAAGTACATCAATATACTTTCTAACTACGTAATTCAACTAGTTATCCATTATATGAATACATAAGATATTTAAGAACAATATTGACTACCAACGATTTCAATTGTTGATTAATCTTATAACTAAGTAAAAACATCAGAGATCCTCACCAAGAACCCCGATGATGCTGAAGAGTATAGCGCAGATGGCAGCGAAGATGGTTACCGGCCGAGGGAATTGTATTGGCTGCTCTGCCACCTGGTGCACTATCCTTAACACTGTGTCATTCTCCATACGGGTATTCATCCTTGTAGCTCTCGTAATTTTCCCCCAAGATCTTGTCAATTGAGGTCCTGCGGACGTCTATCACCTTAACGACATTTTACTTGTGCTGCAAAAGAAAAACACTTTTTTTTTCATTTAGGATTCTTTTTTCCAGGTTTCAGGAATTTAGAAAACATTATGTGATTTGATTATGATACAAAACAGATGAAAAATGAGTACTTTTGTAAGTTCCTTCTTTTAAGCGTATTTATATAATAAAATAATTCATACTAATATACTGTTTTTATTTAAATATATGAATTACAATAAAATATGTGATATAATGTAAGCATCATTATTCAATTTAAAAATAATCTGGCAATTAAAAGATTTGAAAAAAGTTTATGCTCAATAAACAAAGAGCACTTTTATGAATAAATATTCATAAAATTCCAATAGCTCATTTCCAATAGCTGCGCAAGTTCAGTCCTTGCAAGAGAAATAACACTACAAAGCTACAACACATTATCGTTTACTTTTACTGTTATATTTACCAATGATCCATGAAAATTATGAATGAAAATGCTATTGTTTATAAAATTATATTAAAATGATTAAATAGTTAAATTCCTTTATACAAAACCTTTAAAAATTTATGAAATTGCCGAAATATTTGAGAAAATTAAATTTATTTTATTTCAGTTTCAACTTCTTTAAATACATTCGCTTAATTTATCATCTATCAAGTTTTGTGCTAATAAAGGTAATAAATTATCATTGTTTTTTTTAACAAAATTTTATTGAATCTTATTAAAAAAAACTAATATTTATTTTAATTATTTCAAATCCATACAAATGATTAAATAATCAATAAATATACATTATATTATATTTTTATGTAAATATATGTAATTTAGAGCAAGTATACACTTATATTGAATCTTTTAAATATTGAAATATTTTTAGCAGTAAGGTAAAAAATATTATTTAATAAATGATTTTTAAATGAAGTATATGTAATGTATACATTAACATACATCTGATACCTCAAATTGAATATCTTACATTATTTACTCCTATCCAAGAATAGTTTTCTTGATACATGTATATACAGTTCATGTACCAATTCTTAAAAAATAACAATTTCTATTATTATCTTTAAACTGTTAATTTTAATTTTAATTTTTGATAAAATTGTATTTTTCAAAATAATAAAAAAGTATAATTATATTGAAATATTAATTGCTGACCTATAAGTAATTGATAACCTTAACTTAAAATAAGTTATTTCGAAGTGAACGTCTTTAGTGAAGGTATTTAGTCTTTTGTTGATTTTCTTTTTATCTTGAATGAGCAAATATACGTGACCACGACTGTACATATACGAATAGATTAAAAAATTTAAGAAGAAATAAATTACTAATTACCATTTAAAAGTAAAAACGGTTTTTCTAAAAATGGATTATGTTTAATCTTCGCTATTTAGAAATCTTTACATAGTCTTATTATACAAAATTTCCATTACAAATCAATCACGACTGATTTTCGATAATTCACAAGCTTGAGAACTGGTATTCGACTTCATGTATTACAATCAAATTCAAGTTTTTTGTTAGACCTAACCGAAAATTGGCGGATTTCACTGGAATATTTTTATACTTCTCATCACGTTCCCTACATCTGGTTGACAGATTTTTGCTTACGCGGGAAAGGATAAAGAGCAAGTCGACGTAAGGAGAACCTGTTCCATAGACAGAGACGTCTCACTTTGTTATTATATCGAATTCGTCTTTAGGCTGAACAGTCAACACTTCCTTTTGCATGAAGATGCGAGAAGCGTATAGTTGCTAGGTGGTCTAATAGTTTTCATGAACTCTTTAACTGGTGTAACAAACGCAAGAGTAATATAAGCCGATTGTAGATACGATTAGCCATCGTCATTATCTTATTAACGAAAAATAATAATTAATAAAAGCCGCAGCGCGAGAAAATTGCAATACGATATTGAGAGGTGTACATTGATAAGTGTGCACTTAGCTACATAAAAGTGAGATTACTTACGGAATAATTGGTTAATATAATGTTCTAATGAATGTTTTTGGATAAAAGTGACAAATACAAAGAATCATTATACAAAATAAGATAAAAAAGGACTTACATAAAATATATATAAAATCAGTGCTTATTCGTTAGTAGCAACTAAAAACGTTGTTCATAAATGTAATGTATCAGCAAATACAAAGCTTTCTATCATGTTACGCGTATTAGTTTAGAGACAATAATTATAAAAAATGAATGCCAAGAAAAGAGGAAAAATGAGAATAAATAATAGTAAAAAACCACAATTTAATCAGTTGTACTCATTCAAAACTTTATATTTCGATTATTTTATTATTTTAAGAAACACAGGAAAAGCATGAAACTTCATTAGATCTAGAAAAAGAATTATGATTCAAAGAAATTAATAGTATTTCATTGAATATTTTATATTTACGATGTAAATACAAAGTTTAATAAATACGATAGTCACATTCAACAAATATTTAAATATTTTATGAGTTAAGTTAGAAAATTACTAGTCATAAAATAGTTTATTTAAAAATGGAGAGAAAGAAATTTGTTTAGGTAAATTTTTCATCTAATCAATATAGTGATACCATAAAAATTGACTATACTAAACATTGATATTCAATATTAATCATCAAAAATATCTTTAATAAACATAAATAATATTATAGTAAACATTTGAATTTATAATATATAGTTCTATAATTAATTTACATTATAATTTATATTTATATTAAAAATTCGTTAAAACATAAAAATGAGAAATTGAATTTTATACATTTAATATTTAAAATTTTAAATAATCTATTAATAAATATTATAAATAATAATTAATAATAACAATGTATTAATTATTAATTACCAATAACATATTTTTTTTTTCAATGATCATCATTAAGAATTTAATTATCTATAGAAATTTTATTTTATATAAATTATTGGTATTTAGAGTTTTAAATTTCACAAAATACATAAATACCAATATATTTTTCATACAATATAGATTTTTTAATTTTATTGACAAATTATTATAGAAGTATAGAAGTAATGGCAATAATTACAATTTTACTTGTCCACAGTCCACTTTCTTTGTTTATATGTTACTTAAACACGAAAGAAGATTTAAGGATTCTTATTTAAGACAATAAGCTGAAAAATTTCTTAAAAATTTGTTTTATCAAAATTCTTTCCTCTTATATTATGTTGACCAACCTGGATGTATCAAAGTTAATGTAAGAGTCTTATCTTTTTGCCATGCTCGTTCTGTTTATTTTAATTTCTTTTGATAAATTATGTGAATATTAAATGTATGGGATTGAAAAGACTTAAAAATATTATAAATTATGTATATAAAATTATTTACATTAAATTGATAATTACTTGCGTAAATGTAATTGCGATAAAACATTAATTTTATTTATACCAGATATAGTAGAAGAAGATTGACCATAGAAGTGTTTAAAAACATTTGTTATTAATATTTACGTTTTTCAATGTAAACGAAACTATTTCAATGATTGTATTTGAATCATTCATAAATCGTAGCAAATAAATATTTAGTTCATATACGGAATTTATAATATATATATATATATATGAATATTTAGTTTATATCTGAAATTTCTATTTTATATATCAATATTTGATCGGATGAAAAAATTAAAAATTTTTTTTTATTTCGTTCGCATTTATTTGAAGAATACTCAAAAGCTCATAATTGAATTCGTTTATTTTTTAAAATAGTTGTATATATATATTATATAGGTGATAACTAAAAAATTTTTTTTAGCAAGTAATAGAACTTAAAAAATACCAAAATTCTATTTAAAATAATATAAAAACTGAATAGCAACAAACAGAATTTTCAAATAAAATCAAAGTAATTTATTTAAGATTTAAATGAAAACATTATTTGTTTCAATTATATAGTCAGAATAACGTAGATTTTCTAAAATTAAACTTGAAAGATGAATTGGATTTTATTAATGCGCATTTAAAATTCATTAATTAGAATATATAAAATATGATGAATTATAACAATCGGAGCTCAAGAAAATCGTGCTACCAGGAATCAATTATTACATTTATTCCTATCGCATTAGGAAAATAATAAATAATATTTGACGAAACAACAGGCAACTATTTACGCAAGCACGGAATGAATAATCGAAGAAAAATTCATAAATCAATGTTCAATCGATACTGTATTATTAGCAAGACTGATTCAAATTGAAGTCTTTTGTATTTAATGTTCAACAACTTTTACATGAGTTATCAAACGTTGTTATTTATCACTACACAATATTGTTATTACAAGCCATTAAAACTGCATATTTCTTTATGAAATTGAGTCAGATCTAATCACGATACATGTTTTGATTTCAATAAATGAGACCGAATAATTAGGAGTGAAAAATTTTTTATTTATCGTCTATGTCTATTTATTACATATTGTAAAATATGATTCGAATTTTTGTAAATTTATCGATTAACGAAGGGGTTTCGTTGAGAGCATCGTAGCGAAGTGGGAAGTTAAATACGCGACACTTTCTTTAGAACGTTAATGTTTCTATAGTTCAAAAGCACCAAGAACGATGCTGGTTGAGAGTTTTCGTTAATTTCAATATTTTTTAAATTTGTGTAATGAGGAAGATAATTCAGCATTTCAAGTACACTGATGTATATCGACCCACTTATCTATTGTTTTGTCTTGGTTTCTTAAAATAATTTTTTCTAACAATCTTAATAGAGTTGAATATTGTGTAATGAAGTTTTAATAATGATCAAGAAACATGAATAATATTAATGACAATAAGAAGCGAATTGCACTTGTTTATTTCAATTATAAGACTTGTAATGAACAATTATTTTTGAGTTTTTCCTTTCATATAGTTTATGTATTTATTTTATCATTTGATAAATCTTAAAAATTATGAAAATTGTACATTTTCTTTTTATTTGTTGATAATAGCGATACTTACCGATGAACAAATTATAAAATTGTCTGTTGACCTTTACATCTATCATCGACGGTCATTATTCAATTTTTCACTATTATCATGAATTCATTAAAAGCATTAAGATCCAATGAATCAAGCAAGCAGGGTCTGCATTGTTATATCAAAGGAAGCTTTCATCCCACGAGCTTTCTTTCATCCGTTGAAATAAACGAAAGCCCAGCATAATGATCGGAGTCAAAAAAATTTCGTAAATCCTTACCTGAACGAAAAAACAACGATGCTTATCGATTAATTGAGAAAAATAGATTCGAGCACAATAAAACCAGTCACAAAAAGAACGAGAACCATGACTGTAGCAACGGTCGCGTTGGACGGTGCCACTCGCGCCGATCTCACCTCAGTCCCACCTTAGGCTCAGATACTGGCCAAGGTCGTGTTTGTCCTCGCACATCACCGCGAAGAGAGCAGTGGTCTCCCGGTGTGGCACCGACGGCACGCACGCATAGACTGACGGATCGGAGTATCGCGGCGTCCATTCGAGCCTCGCGCCGTCTATATTAATAGCGTCGAGGGTGGGACACCCTACTGAGATGTAACCCCGCCTCCCCACTTCGTTTAACAATCCGTCTATCTATCATCGAACAAACGGCATGTTTGGGCGATGGGACTTCTTCTGAATCATTGGGCAACTAAGACAATTGATTGGGCGCTGCTAACGGAGTCCAACATACAATATTAACAAAACTGGAAAATCAAAATACTTATTAATTAATTAAATGCCAAATGCGGGCTTTGCTTACTTCTCAAATTTATATATCAAATAATTGACATGGGAAATCGTTAAAATCTTTAAAACTCTGTTACTCTTGATAATAATTCGGTACGATCATTCGACTATTATACTTCACATCCCGTATCAAAGTTTTGACAACAACGGTCAGGATTAACCGACGAATTGGTCTGTTGCATCGACTTGGTTACCTGGGACCCATGACTTTTGCGCCTCATCGACATTCAACCTAATAAGACAAGTGGTTTTCGTACTTCCTGACACACGGAGGGAATACTGGACTATTCAGGAACAGCTGCTGCTCTCGTTCAACTGTTCGTATATTCGTACGTTACGTTCGAAGTTAAATGTCGGTTGTGAGGATTTTTTCTTTCCGGTGAATAGTTTTATCTTTTACCTTTCGTTTATCGAGTATTAATGTGTCTTAACGATGCTGGTACTTACATTTTTTGTGATTGACTTATGCCATAGAACTTTAATTACATGCTCAAATCAGTTGCCGTTTGATAAGTAGTAAGTCTGCGATTAAGACAAGTATCAATTATTACGAATGAAAACTTGCAAGGCAACTTTATCAAATTAATCTGATTGAAAGATGGTAATTAACAAATAGAAACTATTAGAGTGAACGAGTATAAAAACAAATCTTAAATATTGTTATTAAATTTGTGTAACTTACATGGCTATATAAGAAGAAGCAAAGTCGAAATTTTATCGATTTTTCTGACAATTATTTAAAATTTATAATTAAAAAAATATATATATATAATTATCTCAGAACTACAAATAAAGTTTTACTTACACGTTGAACGTGCACAAGAAATGTACAAGTAACACGAAATGTTTCCTCACAAGTTCTTTTATTTCAGATAACCCATTAATCGCAAACTTTCAAGCTAAACCATTTGCCTACAGCAATATGTGGAAATCTGAAAAAATGACTCACCACCGATATACGGAGTTTGTGCGGTTTTTGCAATCAGTATATTTGAAAAATCTTAAACACATTCTTTTACAATAAATTGTTTTTTACTGTAGGCCTCTTTTTATAAACATATTCTGGCGAACTTTTTGTGTAGCTCCTCATTATTCTTATTCAAAAACTTATTGAAGTTTAATACATTTTATTTTCAAGGAAGCGGCTCTTCAACAAAGACATATACTAAATTCCAAACTATACATTCCTTAATAAGCGAACAGCTTTGCTATTAAAGCCGTAGATTATTATTAAAGTCTACCGTTCAGAAATAAAGATCTCATATCCGTATTAACATAATTCACAATTAGCTCCACACCCGTAATTGACGAAGTGTAATGCTAAGAATGCGTACGAGGTTCCTTACACCTACACTACTGCTATTGGTGCTTCTCTTTCAATTCTTTTCCCACCCGTAATTTTCACCGACTCATAAGAGGCGGATACTAAATGCAATCGACCAGAAGCGCGGTAAGATATAACAATCGACTGAACACGTGTTGTTCTTGGACGCCGACCGCATGCTCCTCCCTCCCAGAGGTCGTAGCCAATCTGTCGATGACTCTAAAATAGATCGACGAGCTCGGAGTGTATATATTTTCTTAGGGTTTACTGAATGGGTTCAGCTGCCTGCCAATGTGATTTAGTTAATTTGCAACACTTTCAATTTTCTCTATGTGACTTACATTAATATAGTATAGAATTTTTTCTCTAGAATATTTCGTACAAAGCAAAAATATGTTCAAAGTAACTTAAAAGAAAAATTAAAATAAAACTAAATTAAAAAATTTTTTATTACCCTTAAGTGAAATAAAAAAAAATTATTAAATGATAGCATACATCTTTGCCGAGTGCATCGAGTTAATGGCTTTAATTTAATTTTCATTGATTCGAATCAGTCGGAATTAAATTTTTGTCTACTCTTCCGTACCATTTATACTGAAACTTTTAGAAAAGGTCCGTACTTACTGGAAATCTCCCAAGTTATATTGAACAGAAATAATCGATAATACCATGAATCATATTGTCGAAGGCCGGAACGAACGCTTCCTGTCATACATAAAGATTACGCATTTTAACAATTGTGGAATAAAGTTGCTTATACATACCGTACGCATAGTAAAGCAAACACTTGCGGTGAAATTAAATTTGAAGATTAATTAAAGATTAATTTTATGTATTATAACTTCTTATTGAAATACTTGTGTCAAACATATGAATCTAGCATTGTACAATTGCAATTATGAATATAAATCCTAATATTGTAAATTTTCAGCAATATTTTCATTGGGTTTGAAATGGTATTATTTTAAAGGAAGTAAATTCAAAAGTAAATATGGAAGTTGTTCTTAACCATTTATCTTGTTAAATTGTGTAAAATTGTAAACTTTTAAAATCAGTGATTGAAATCTTATCTTGATTTTGAATTATAATAGAAATTTCAATGCTTCTTTTATTAAAAATTTATATTATATTGTTAATACCATAAAAATATAATAAATTATAATTTAATAAAAATTACGTTATAATGTATTTAAAAGTTGCTTTAATAATGCTTTTATTTGAATAAAACTGATTAAAGAATAATTAAATAAGTAAATTAGCAATAAATTAAAAAAAGAATTGTTTTCAACTCACAATCATAGTGAGTGTTATACAAATTGCAAGATTTTAAAAACATATCATATTTTAGTACCATAAACACTTATTGACACTCCCTAATTATTCTTTACTTTATCTAATTATCACTTCAAGGCACTCCTATTTTCCGCCTTAAAAATTTTAATGAATGCTTCATTATTCAACTATAAATCATCCGTAGGTAAAGTATAAAGGATATTAAAAAATAATTTTGAGTCAAAGGTCGTACACGTAGAAAAGTTGAGCATATATTAGAAAAATTTTCCAATTAACTGTAATTTTAATACAGTTAATATTAGAAGATCTATAAACACACAAAATCCAAAAAAATTGAATATTTTATATGTTTGTGTATATAAATATGTACATAATTTAAAAAGAAAATATAAAATCGTGTAAAATATCTACCATAAATATATATATTATTACTGAATGAAATATGAAGATCTATAAAAATAAGTCTAATGAAATTTTGTGATAAATTGTATGTTTCAAGTATATTAACTATTTGACAAATATTTCGAGTATAATTTATATAAATATTCATTACTGAACCAATGGAAAAGTAAAATTCTTAGCTCTAAATTCTTTGAAAGTTAATCGATATTAAAATTAAAATATGTCAGCTGTAATGTCAGCTTTTAAAATAACGATGTAAGCTAATCGAATAGTTACGGCTTAAATTGGCTATAACAATTTTTCAAGTTCTACCTCCCTGACGATAAAAGAGTTGAAATTGGTTTAAACCCTCTTAAATGAGTTTCACATTTCTGGGATGAAAGAAAAGGGGATCAAAAGTACATAAACCAAATCGGAGAATGTAAATAGAAAACACATTTCGGTTATAGTGTCGTATGTTTCGGGTGTTTCGGAAAATGATTATAGATGTATGTTTCTGAAAAAATGTTATCCATACTTCATTGTTTATTATACAGTGTATTTTTAATCAGCCAACTTTATAAAATATATAGGAAAATAAGATCTTTGAGTTTGTAAAGATCAGCAATAAAGTAGTAAATACATACATCTTCAAAAATAAAATTCATCATTTATAACTAAGGATTTCAGTATATATGAACTGAACATAAATGAATATTCATATTTTACATACATTTCTTAAAATAATTAACCAAGAACCGAAAGCTATTTATGATTATATAAGTTTGAAATAAGGAAATTAATATTTTACATGCATCATAACATTATTTATAATAAAATTATAATTTTATATATTGCACATACCAATTAAACATATCCATTTATGGGTATACATTGAACTGTATTTTCCTAATAATTGGATTTAAAATATTTTTAACAACTAAATCAACTTTCAATATGACAATTTAGAAAATAGTCATCTTACATATATAAAGTTTGTTTAACTGCATGTAAATTACATAAAATCTTAAAATTTGTTTAAAAAATACTATAAATACAAAATTACTCAATGCAAATATAACCTTGAAATTACGCTCAACATTCCTATTATTCTTTTGGTATTACGAATAAATCCATAAGAATTAAATATTTATTTATAACGAAGCAAAGTCTGAATAAAATTACAATTAATTGACCTATTATTAATATAAAATTATATTTTATATAATCGATATCTGTCTCCACGAGTAAAAGTATTCATTTTGTAAGTGCTTCTATATTTCTATGCGACTAAGCAAGAGAAAGGGACGAAAGATCGGCAAATCGTAAAGTCAAAATGTCAAAGTGGATAGTAAACAGCGTCTATAACATTAAAATTAATGCATCATTTCATCGTAATACTATGACCTATTATTCGACCTTGTTGAGTAGAACCATTTGGGACTCATTGGTTTACTTCAGGCCTTTTCATTCCACTTAGGTATTCAAATTAATACGGCAGTATCGATTCTGCTTAATGCGACATACGTCAAAGACACATTTCCGGATTTTTAGTTTATTTATACCTAAACTGTATTCATGAGACGGTTATAAGAAAGTTCGTCGATTCTTACAAAATAATTTTCTAAATAAGATTACACATTGAAATATATTATTATTAAACATTTTTTAATTCTTTTTTTTACAACTGTTTCTCATTTTATAAATAATAAAAACATTTCTTAATATTGTACATCGATTTCCGTCCATTTATTAAATTAGTCTCTGTTAAATTCTAGGAAATTTCACATTGTTCAGCTAATTTTAAGACCCTTATCTTAATTTTTTATGTAAGAAAAACCTATGGAAATTCATTAGCTTAACCTTAATTTATTATTCTGATTCATTAAAATAAGTATTATTAATAGCTGACGTAGTGAAAATAGATATACATAGATATTACTAGAGTAGCGTTCAG